CAGGGCCTAGAGAGGACTCCAAGCACACTGAATCCTTAGCCAGATGCTAAACATGTTGATCATCATGAGCATTGCTAAAAATGGGACTAGCAAACTGAGTGGCAAAAAATTTGCAAAGTGAGGAAGTTTTGGTGAAGCTTGACATTCCAGCGTATATAAAACAAGCCAACCTCCATAAATTTAGGATTAAATCATTTGTCCCCCCAGTGATATGGAACTAGAAATCAATAACAAGAGGGAAATCGAAAAATTCAAAACTATGTTAAACACACTCCTGAACAGCCATCAAATTAGAAATTAGAATGTCTTTTGAGAAATCTAAAATAACAATATGCCACAATTTATAGGATGTGTCAAAATCATTCTAAGAGGGAAATTTATAACCATCGATGCCTATGTTAAGAAAAAAAATACGGGCCTCCCTGGTGGCGCAGGGGGTTGGGCATCGCACTATGAAGCAATCCAAAGCCTGAAGCCTCTGTAGCATGAGTTCAATCCCCGGCCAGCCGGGGAGCAACCCCCATGGCGCAGCAGACCTCTCCTATCTCACCCGCTGCCCCCCTTGGCTGTATGTTTCGCTCAATCTGCCTGTTCTGTTCCCCACTCTTGTCTCTGATGGGTCCTCTCAGCCCCCGCATCTCTGGCCTGTACCCCAGCTCTTGTATGCATAAATTTTTTTTTAAAAAAAGAGGGGGGCCTCCCCGGTGGCGCAGCAGTTGAGCGCTGGGTTGCAAAGCTGCCCGCAGCCTCTGCAGCACCGGTTCGATCCCCGGCTGCTCCCCCGCCACCGGAGGAGGGTCCCACATGGCGCGCAGACCTCTCCTGACGCCCGCTGCTCCCCTCAGCAGTGTACTTCAGTCCCTCTGCCTGCTCTGCTCCCTGCTCTGGCTCTGGTGAATCCTCTCACCCTTCCACGCTTGTGACTGTACCAAGTGCTTACATAAATAAATAAATAAATCTTTTAAAAAAAGGTAAAAAAAGTATCTTGGGGCTTCCCTGGTGGTGTAGGGGCTTAATTCTCACCATATGACCTGGGTTCGATCCCCGGCCAGGGAGCTGACCCACATGGTGCAGTAGACTTGTCTCCCCGCTGCTCCCCTCAGCAGTGTATTTCACTTGATCTGCCTGCTCTACTCCCTACTCTGTCTCTGGTGAATCCTCTCACTCCCCACACCTCTGGCCTATACCCCAGTTCTATGCATAAATATTGTTTTTGAAAAAGAAAAAACACCTCAAACATCCTAACTTTACACTTCAAGAGTCTAGAAAAAGAACAGAGTGTAAGTTAGTAAAAGGACAGAAGGAAGTATTAGAGAAGTCATAAATAGCCATTTGGGGAAAGGACGTTGCAGTTACTTCTAGGGCGTTTGTGACTTTCAGATTTCTACATAGAATGACCATTTCCTCAGTTTTAGGAAATATTTTAATGTAGCACTCCAATTCTGATTCCAATATTAAGCATTTTAGACCAGGAAAATACCTAGTACAAGCCAGTGACACAGATGTTGGTGGATGTCACCGCGTCCTCACTGAGCCTGGCCCTGTCGTGTGGACACGCAGTGAGGGTGCAGCTGGGAGGAGCAAGAATTATGTCTTTAAAAAAAAAAATTACGTCTTAAAACAGTTGTTTTTTTCATTTTTTTCCTTGTTATGATTTACAAACGTCTCTTAGGAAGTCATACAACTCCAGAGACCCTTAGAGTGTTCAGGAGAAACTTTCCCTTCAATTCTGGAGGCAGAAAGGCTCTGACAGGAGGGGCCTGAAAGCGAGGAAGGAGGGGCCAGACCCACGTGTCCCTGTGTCTGTGTCCCTGAGAGGTGCTTCTGCCTGAAACCAAGCTTTTCCCCAACCTTCACACCACTGAACTCCACCTCAACTGATGAGCAGGAATGGAATCAGACAAACACATGAGCCAGACAAATAAGGATTTCCCATGATCGATCTATTGCAATGAAGTTATAATACAATTATATCAGGCAGGTTTGTACAACTCAATTCAAATTAGCTTAAAATTAAATATAAACATCAGGTAGAAAACTACAATCTGAAAATACTCATCCCAGGATTCATAGGAAAGCTTAACAGAATAACATTGATATATATGAAAAAAGACCAGGATTAGGCTCAATAAGCATATTTACCATATTTTAAAAATACCTTATAAGGCAGCTGCACTCAGTTCAAGAGTACTGAAAGGTCCCACAGGCCTCATGTTACCCTGCCCAATACTGCATAAACAGTTATTTCATAATTATGAAATCTAGGACTGCAGATCAATCTTCCCATCTCAAGCAAGTCATCCACATTTGATTTGTCCACTATTCAGTGCCCCCTCGTTTTCCAAGTCATGGACTGCAGCTGACAAAGTGGGCAACTTGTTCTGTGCATGTATACTCACACACGCTAGTTTGCACTTACAGATACAAACATGCACTCACACTCATCTAAGACACAACCACATGCTCACTCACAGTCACATGCACACACACAGGTCACACCAGTGTCTGTGACCTCACTCCCGCCCAGGAGGGCACGCATCACCAGAGAGTGTTTAGTACAGTCCCCTGGGCGCTTCACACACAAGCTCTTATTGCCTTTACACAACTTCCAAAACAACCAGACTCACCAGGACCCCGCTCAGACCGGGCACACGTGGACACACGACAAGACCGCTAGCTCAGGGCCCCCCTCCCTGGTCAGGGCATTGGAAGATGGGATCGTTTGGAGAAGAGATGGTGAGTGATGTAGGGGGCTTAGGAAAAGGGTGCAGGGAAGGGGGATGAAGGGCCCAGACACAGCTGTGAGGGTCTGGGGATACGAATACATGGGGTGCCAGGGCGCAAGGGCGCAGCTGACTTCCTGGAGCCACCATCTCCTTATCACCCCACTGGGGGCGAAACAAATAGAAACAGGTCTTCTTGTAGTTCTAGAAGTCAGAGGTCTGAGACCAGGCTGCAGCTGGGCTGAAGTATTAGATCAGATGGAACTACTGGACATTGTTACAGAGTTTTCTGTCTAAAAGCAGTTAAATGCGCTTTCTTCTCCAGTGTACAGGGAACATTTCAAGAACAGACCATACACTAAGACATAAAACAAATCTCAAATATATGAAAATAGAAATTCTATCACGTCTTCACAGACAATGCTGTAAAGCTAGAAATTAACCATGAAATGACTCCTAGAGCAAACCAAAATAGATGGAGTCTAAACAAAATGCTCTTGAACAACTCATCCGTCAATGAAGAAATCAAAGAAGGGATTTAAAAAGCATCTAAGACTCATGAAAACAAGAGGCAAGCTACCAACTCTGGGACACCTTAAAAGCAGTACTATGTGGAAAGCTCACCACAATACAAAAGAGCTTCTAGAAATAATAAACAGGTACAGAGGTGGTAGGATATAAAATCAATACACAAAAATCCTTTCTGGCATTTATATATGTGAGTAAAGCATCAGAAGAAAGGGAAATAAACACCACAGTTCCACTTACAGTCACACCAAAAAGAAGGCAATCCTTGGGAATAAACAACACAGGAGGTGAGGGGCCTGTATCGTCATGCGGTAAGACTCTATCAGAGGAACTAGAGACGACACACATCAGCGGAAAGAGCCCATGTGATGGATGGGAAGAATTAACATCACTAAACCAGCCGTATTAACCAAAGCAACCTACAGATTTAATGTAATACCTACTAAAATACCAATGACTTTGATTTTGTTAAAGATTTATTTATGCATACAAGAACTGGGGTACAGGTCAGAGGTGGGAGGTGAGGTGAGAGGATTCACCAGAGACAAAACAGGAAGATCTACCGAAATACACTGCTGAGGGGAGCAGCGTGTGAGACAGACAAGGTCTACTGCGCCATGTGGATAGCTCCCTGGCCAGGGATCGAACTCTTGCCATGCTGCAGTGGCTGCAGAGAGCTTCATAGTGCTGTGCCTTAAGCCCTTGCGCCACCAGGGAGGCCCAACTTTTTTTTAAAAGAACTAGAACAATTATCTAATTTATATGGAACCACAAAAGGCCTCAAATTGCCACAACAATCTTGAGAGACAAGAAAAATGGAGACCTCACACTTGCTGACTTCAGTCTCACACAGCAACCAAACAGTGTGGTATGGGAACAAACAGGCGCTCAGAACAAGGTAACAGAATTAAAAGCCCAGAGATAAAGTCCTGTACATATGGACAGCCAATTTTTGGTCAAGGAGTAACAGCATACAGTGGAGAAAATAGAGCCTCTTCAATAAATGGTAACTGGGGATCACGATGGTCACATGCAAACAAATAAAGCAAAACCCATATATAACACCATCCATGAAATATTCACTCAAAATGGCTTAAAGATTGGACCTAAGAAGCGAAACCATAAAGTACTTGAAGGGAAATACAGGGGGCCCACTACAGGACATTTACCCCAAAGATGGATGTCTGACAACCGTGGTGTCTGACAGAGGCAGCCCAGGTTATTCTATGTGAGGCTGCGGCAAACACTGTGAGGGCCCCAAGTCCATGCTGAGGACTGAGTACGGGGTCTGGAAGTGGGGAGGCCTCCATGGCCTCCGTCTATCTCTCAGCCCCGTTTATGGAGAATTTGTGGGTGACTCCAGGAAGCAGGGGCCCCAAAGTGGGAGAGGAAACTCACACTGGAAGAAACTCCACCCAGGAACTCCGTGTGTGCGTGCATGTGGGTGTTTTCCCTCCACCTGAGCAAATGGAAGAGCAGGCAGATCCTGGAGACCCTCACAGGTCCCGGGAGGCCTGCGGCTCTCACTGCGTGGATGGAAGACCCTGGAGCAGGAGCAGGAGCCTCCACCGGGCCTGGGAACAGGCCAAGAGTGGGAGGGAGAGGACCCCCTGCTACAGCGAGAAAGGCCAACCCAAGCCATCGCCCGCCCAAATCATTCCCTGAAGCACAACCCCCAACCCTCATGTTCTGGTCTGGCTCCCCCGACAGGGACCCTCCCCAGGCCCCAGCTCCCTCGTCCCCACCTACCTGGGCTGCGGCTGCTGTCCCGGCACAGCCCTCCCTCTGTCCTCTGCTCCCAAGGGTGCCGGGGTCAGGCTGGAGACGGGAGCCCGGCTGCGCAGAGAAGGGCGCTTGACTCTCGCTGGGGTTTCTACGTTCGCAACCCAAGAGAGGGCAGAACATGAGAGAAGGCGAGAACATGATCTCCCCAGCCCGGTTTCCTGCGCCCCGCACAACACTCAGGGAGCGCGTCCGGCGTGAGGACATGGAACTGAAAACGTGAGCGGCGATTAGACCTGGCGTCAGAAACCGGATTTACGAATCTCCCGCGAAAGCAGAGGAAGGCCAAGCTCACCAAGAGTTTTCCCCTTTACACCAGCAAGCCCTTAGATTGTTCCTGGAGACAGTGTCATTTGTCAGGAACCAAAGTGCCGAGTTACTTTACAGAATGCTGAGTCCTCGAAGGTGCCCCTGGTGCGGGGCTTGTTTCCTTCTCTGGAAAGCACAAAACGTCACCAAGTATCTGCGCGTGACTGGGCAACACACCGGGGCCTCCCAGGAGGGAGAGGGAGGACTGACTGGGAACTCTCCCGAGCAGAAGCCAGGGTCTCCAGGGCCACGGGGAGAACCTTCATCTTCCAAAGAAAGCACAAAATGGCAGACGGGGCGTCCCCGGGTCAGAGGTGACTGCGGGTGCGCCTCAGTCCTGCTGCCCGTCCAGTCCTGCTGCCCATCCTGTTACAGACAATGGGCTGCACGGGCTCCAGGGCGGGCGGGGCAGGGCCAGGTAACAGGAGTTGTGGCTGTGGTAATGGGACCATTGACATCAGCTGCCGGGGACACCATGGCCTCGGGCTATGCTGAGTTTGTGCATAAAAACAAACTTCTCCGTGCTTCTCACCCTGAGCCAAGGGCAGGCAGCAGCAGCCTCCTGGGCCTGTCAGGCCAGAGAACAGCCAGGCCCTGCGGCAATGACCTGTGAAGTCAACAGAAAATCCTCCCTGAGGCCCTCGGGCTGGGGGTTTGGGGCTCGGGGCTGGGGCTCAGGGCTGGGGGCCCGGGCTGGGGGCTCGGGTTCTGGACTTCGAGGTCCGGCCTTCGTCCCTCTGAGAAAAGTTCATGCTGTTCTCAGTCCTCGTCTACACGGCCCTGCCCGGACTCCGCAGCCAGACAGGACCCAGGTATCCCCCATTCTCTCCCTTCACTGATTAGCAGGACATGACCCCACCCCACATGGGAACCTTGGGGGGTCAACACACCCCACGGGGGTCTCTCACCAGGGGAACATTTTCAGCATTTGCTGCTCATAAATTCAGGGGTGAGTCTCCCTGCCGGAGGGGCCTGGGTGGGGGGTGATGGAAGCGGAGAATGGACAGAAGCTGGGGGACAGAGCGAGGACTGGTCTAAAGTTTCTGTGGTAAATAAATAAATAAAAATAATAAGTTTCTGTGGTGTGGCTGGCGTTAGACGGAGAAAAGCCGCTGGAGTCTGCTAAGCAGGGCCACAGAGGCAGAGAAGTAAATGTGTGGGAGCTGGAAGCCCCTTTCAGTCGGGGTGGGGGCGGGGGAGGGCCGGGCGGGCGACACTCACCTCAGGGCGGCGTCTCGCGCTTCCTCCCGCGCAGCTCTGCGCAGGCGCCGTTAATAGGGACGCCGCGGGCGCGCCCCGGGGCAGCAGCGCGGCGCCCGCACCTGCTGCCGCTTGGCCGGTGGAGGGGAAAGATCTGCAAACGCCGCGGAAGGACACCTTGACTGGCCTTCCTCACGGGGGATTCTGTAACTGAGCTCCCCTGTGAGACAGAGTGTGACTTGCTCTCCTCCACAGACTCTAGAGGTGGGGGTGTGGGCGCTACAAACTCGTTCAGCTGCGCCCCTCCCTACCCAGGGCCCACCACTGCTCTCAGCAATCACCCCGGCTCCCGCCTCCCCCACCTTGGCTTAAAGGCTTCTAGAGCCCCAGTCCCAGCGTTGGGGCTCCGTCCAGGTCGTCAGCGTGACCCCGAGGGCAGCCCTGTCCAAGGCCCCCCAGTTCGCGCGGAACCCCCCTCCCCCGCCGTCGCCTTGGTGGGGGGGTCCCCGTGTTTGCTGGGTCTCCAGCTTTAACGTGAATAAGGGTAGAGTCGTTGCTGCCCCCTGGACCCCTGAAGACGCTGTGATCCTGCAGGTTTAGGGGGGCCAGGAATCAGCCTCTTGTGTGAGTTCCCTGTGAGGCCGATGTGGCCCCCAGACCGTGTTCAGCGGCACCACAGTGGAGAAAGCACACAGGAACACCTTCCACCCCCTCTCATGGCAGCACAACTGCTGTCTGCCCCCAGCGTCCCCAAGGGTCACAGGTTTTGCTGGCCCTTCCCGTGTCCACAGACTGGGGGTCATGTCTCCAGGCGGACCCAGGAGTCTGCGCTCACTGACCTGGGTTCACTGAGCTTCTATTATGTGCCCGCAAATGGCACATAGATGATGGGGGCGGGGTCAACCCCTGGGAGGGGGCACGGGCTGTCAGGAAGGAATCACGGATGGAGGATCTAGAAAGGCAGGTACACCCGGTGTCGAGTTTTCATAGCCTGTGTACAATTACTTTCTTTTGTAAAGGGTAGGTAAGTGTTGGGCCTCCCCGGTGACGCAGCGGTTGAGCACTGGATTGCGAAGTTGCCCGCAGCCTCTGCAGTGCCGGTTCAATCCCCGGCTGCTCCCTGGCCACCAGAGGAGGGTCCCACATGGCGCGCAGACCTCTCCTGCCGCCCGCTGCTCCCCTCAACAGTGTACCTCGGTCCTTCTGCCTGCTCTGCTCCCCGCTCTGGCTTTAGTGAATTCTCTCACCCTCCCGCGCTTCTGACTGTACCCAGTGCTTGTATAAATAAATAAATCTTTAAAAAAAGGGTAGGTAAGTGTTCAAGTTTATAAGCCAACAGTTTCCCTAACTGACATATTTGTTACATTACCATTAGTAATATAATTTCAATTTCCCTACATTCTGCTAAAATTATTACCAGGTTTTTTGGTGTGGCTTATGTTTTTGAACGCTTCTTGAAGGATGAAGTGGCATATTACTGTTTTTCCCAGGTATCTGGGAAAAATGAAGAAAATGTGAGCTCTATAGGTATATTATTCGGCCTTTAAGAAAATGGACGCCCTTCCAGTTGGGAAGAGGCAGCACCTGAAATCCTGTTCAGTGGAACAGGCCAACACCGAGATGCAAACACCGTATCATTACCCGTCAGCCCCACAGGGTGAACTGCATGATAGTGGAGCAGAAATGCCTCCCCAGGTGCTGGCTGTGAGACAGGAGGTGGGGTCAGGCAGAGGAAAGATGAGTGACTCGGGGTGACTCAGGTGTGGGGACCCAAAGTGCAGTAAGGGGACTTCAGCTAACTACAGCAGACATTACACCTGAGTGTAGCCCTTAGTGTTCCCCCCACAAAGCAAATAAACCGGCTCTATGTGAGGAGGTGGCTGTGTTCGTCAGCTTGTAGTAAACATTCACAAAGTAAAGTTTTATTTTTGGTAACTTTAGTTTCCAAAGTGGAAACCGTGCCTGCATAGAAAAGAGAGAGCTGGGTGGAAGGCTCTTGACGCAGGATTTAATAAAAAAGATGGAAATTAACACACCCAGCTACAGAGTCCTTTGCTCCCATTTATCTGCTTTTTCTGTTTTGGGGTTGTGAACACTAGCCTTGTAGAGGGGAGCACTCCCAAACTAATCCCCCTGATCTGGCCAGTGAAGGGAGAAGCCCTGATGGGATCAGACCTGGCCTCTGCCCCAGACGGGGAACTGGGTGGGGTGGAGGAGCTGATTTAGGGCTTCTGTCCCCCAACCCCCACCCCCAGCCTCTGGGTGCCTCCAATGCTCTTTCCCGCTGATGCCCACAAAAACTGCTCCTGGTGTTCACACATTGTCTTAATCTGTTTGGTGACATCTGTTCTCTTAATGCAAACAATTTAACATAAAGACAATCAGATTTTATGTGGTCTCCTGGCCCATCAAAACTCCTACAACAGAGAAAGGGAACCAGACCAAATGAACCCCAAGTCCCCCACACACAACCTCTTCCCTGCACAGACCCCACAATTCTGAGTCCAGTCATCTAACCATTTACTCCAGACAGAAGTGTCAGCTGAGAAACTAGGAAAACTATTGGGTTGTCGAAAAACTTTTTTTTCTGTTTTTCAAGAGTCATTTATTTATATAAAGGACAAAGATCAATCCATGACATATTGCCCATTTAGTTCAATAACCTTTTGCCATCTTTCAGTGAGCTTCATCATTCCTTGTTCATAGAAGGACTTGTCTTTATCGGCAAAAAACTGAACAAGGTGCTGATTTACAGCCTCATCAGAACTGAACGTTACACCGCGCAAGGAGTTCTGAAGGGAGCGAAACAAGTGGAAGTCTGACGGAGCAAGGTCAGGCGAGTATGGAGGATGTGGCAACACATCCCACCCAAGCTCCAGTAACTTCTGACAGGTGATCAAACTCGTGTGTGGTCCCGTGTTGCCATGATGGAACACGACTCCTTTATGATTAACTAGCTCTGGGCGTTTCTGGATAATGGATTCATTCAAACTGTCCAACTGCCGACAGTACACATTTGAATTGATTGTTTGGTCCCTTGGGAGGAGCTCAAAAAACACAACACCTTTAGAATCCCACCACACTGAGAGCATGAGCTTCCTCTGATGAACATCTGCTTTCGATGTCGTTTGTGGGGAACCATCATGTTGGGAACAAGACGGTTTGTGCACCACAGCGCTGTAAACAATCCACTTCTCATCACCAGTTATCAGTCGCTTCAAAAAAGGATCGTTTTCCTCACGTTTAATGAGCATATGGCAGATGTTTATACGTGCCGTCAAGTGAACTTCTTTGAGTTCATGAGGAACCCAAATATCGAGCTTGCTTACGTACCCCAGCTTTTTCAAGTGGTCATGAACACTTGAACGATGGATGTTCAATGTTTCTGCAATCTCTCGTGTCGTGTAACGTGGGTTTGACTCGATCAATGCCTTTATTTTGTCGTCATCAACCTCAGCGGGCCTCCCTGATCGAGGAGCATCACTGAGATCAAAATCACCAGCACGGAATTTCGTGAACCATCGCTGGCACTGACGTTCCTGCAGAGCACTGTAACCATACACTTTACGCAACTTTTCACAAGCTTGACGCGCGTTCTTCCCTTTACGGAAGTAAAACAGTAAAATATGGCGAAAATGCAGAGTTTGGTCCTCCATCTTCAACTCGGTGTCAAATCTCCAAAACAACCAAATTGCTCGATTTTTTTTTTTATTTTAGAATGAAGCTAGAACTGTCAACAGTCAAATGACTAGCAATAACATGGACGAGAATGACTCTAGTACTTCCAAAAATGAACTAGTGCAAGTGACACCTGTTCAAAAATGCGCCAAGACTTTTCCGACAACCCAGCAGACCCCAGTGAAAAAGGCCACCTGCCACACTGACCAAAACGCCCACTGGGCCCCGTGGGCTACAGGCAGTCGAGCAAGGAGGGTCCTGGGTCTTCCTGCTTCAAGGAAAACCCACCCTGTGTAGTTTTCATTCTAGGGAAGGGAGAACGGATGGTAAACACAGGAATCAACACATGTGGCTGTTGTTTAGGAGAAAAGCTAGTCGGCGTAGGGATGAACCACATGTTGAGTGCGCTTATTCACTGAGAAGGGGCAGCTTGGCAGAGACTCTAAGGAGGTGGGCTGTGATGAAGCCTCTTTGAAGAGCATCCTGGGTGAGGAATGGCAGGTCCCGAGCCTGAGGACAGGTGTGCTGGAGGGAAGGGAGAGAGAGAGGAGAATCAGATGATGTGGGGCCTGGCCTGTAGGGCCCTGGGGCCACCAAGTGTATGGTTACCCTGGGAGGGTCCTCAGCTGGAGAGGGAGGTGACCTGCTGAGGTGTTAAATGCACGGGGACATCTTCCTGGTTGGTGCAGGGGTTAAGTTGCAGTGCTATCAAGCTATCACCAGCCACTGCAGCACGAGTTCAATCCCCGGCCAGGGAGGTGGCCCACATGGCGCAGCAGACCTCTCCTGTCTCGCCCGCTGCTCCTCTCAGCAATATATTTCAGTCTGTCTGCCTGTCTGCTCCCCACTCTGTCTCTGGTGAGTCCTCTCACCCCCTTGCATCTCTGGCCTAAACCCCAGTTCTTGTATGCATAAATAAATTTTTAAAAGTTTTTAAGAAAAAGAATCCAGTGGACTCTTACCTGGAAACACTTACTGCAAAAAAATTTCGTTGGTGCACTGCTTTTTTTGTTTGAGAATTTAGTGGGTATTTGACCATGGCTGTCTTTTAGAACTTATGGAGAAAAGGGAGACACACAACTTGAGACCAGCTGAATTCAAAATTGCCTAGCAGCACAAGCCTCCAAGAGATGCTCACCGTAGAGGCAGCGAGAGCCCTGGACTGGCCACTGAGCTACAGCTGATGGGAGCCCACACCTGGCAACAATAAATTAGTTAGCCAAGTCCATTCTCCTTGCCTTCCTCAGTGTCTGAGGGATGAGAGAGAGAGAGAGAGAGAGAGAGAGAGAGAGAGAGAGAGAGAGAGAGAGAGAGAGAGAGAGAAAGTGTGTGTGTGTGTGTGTGTGTGTGTGTATGTGTGTGTAGCACTGGAGTGTAGGTCGGGTCGGAAAGGGGATGAGAGGTGTCACCAGAGACAGTGGGGTGCAGAACAGGCGGACTGACAGAAATATACTGCTGAGGGGAGCAGCGGGCGAAGGTCAGCTCTCTGGGGATGTCTGAGACTTAACCCCTAAGGGCACCAGGGAGGCCCCTCTTTTCATCCTTGACCAGAGGGTCTCCAGAGCCCATTCCCAGACTTGGGAGCGGGACCCCTCGGTCCACCGCTCCTACCCCCAGTGCGTGGAGCAGACGGTGGCGGCTGACTGTCCAGACATCAAAAGCAGAACGTGCACTGGACCGCCCTCTGCCAGGTACTGTGGCCTCAATATTCCGATCATCCATCTGACCCACCCAGATCCCTGGCTCCCACCTGCTCCCAGCTCCAGCATCCCGACACCCACCGGGCTTTCCTCTCCCTTGCCGCCCTTTGAACCCGCGTCGTGGGCTCTCCCGCGAAAGCCCCAGGTGCACTCAGGTCCCCCCACCCGTCACCGCCTTTTTCTGCGCTCCCGCCCTCCCGCGCCCAGTGCACAGGCTACTCTCGGGTCTCCTCACGCAGCTTTCCGCTCCCTCCGCGGTGTGGTCCAGCGCGGGGGGAGGGAGCCTCCTTCACCCCGCACCCACCTTAACCCCGACTCCGCAAGAGGAGCCCTGATTTACGGCGGAAGAGCCGCGGACTCCACAACTTCCTGGGGGAAACCGCAAAGGCCGGGCTGCACCTGCGCAGAAGGAATCTGGCCGCAGTCTTCCCAGAACCCCTTGCGGGAACCCCTACGCCGCACCGACTACATTTCCCACGAGCCTCTGCGCCGGTTCCCGCCGGCGCGAAAGGGGAAGTTTTGTTTACTGTGAGCCGGTCAACCTAGCGCTCTGTGGATCCGAGCTGACGGATGAGCGCCTCAACCTGGTTCATTATTAAATCCTGATTTCACCCACGGAAAGAGAATGTGCGTGACAGCGACAGTTAGAATTGCGATGAACTTCCATATTAAATGTGACCTAATTGTTTCAGTTTTGCTAGTGGTAATGGGTTCTAGAACCCGCATCTTTTTCTGCTGTCAACTAAAGTCTGGCTGGTGAAAATCACACTGTCTGCTTTTCATTAAACTACCTAAAACAGTATGGCAATTTGTGACTGCAAAATTAACATTTGCTTTATGTCCGTGGCTGGCGGGTAGAGGGGGAGCTGCAGCTCAACAAAAGACAACACAGCTTTTAGAAGAGCTACACCGCGTGCCTACACTCCAGAGGCCATCAAGGGGTCAATGCAGGGTGCAGTCAGAGATAGTGTGGAAGGACCTAGCGCCCAGGACCATCATAAGGGTCCACTGTTGGAAGTGCTTTGGGGTTCCCAGGCAAATTTGGTCAATTCAAATGACAAAGAGCATGATGAGCATTGGGTGTAGGGAGACAATGTTACCTAAGGAGCAGGTAAGGTGAAGGTCCCAGGAGGTAGATGAGATTGATTATCACAAGGGTAGCTGAGAAAGGCATATTAGGAACCTAACTTTGCTTGTAACTCTACAGACTGTTATCTCGGTCGTGTGATTGTGGGAAAGAGTGTGTGGCAGTTCCCAACAGGCACAAAAAATGGAAGCCCAGGAAATAATATCATGAGGTACTTTAGATAAACTGCAATTTACTGGATGAGAAGGGAACTGACAAAGCATAAGCCAGAAGAGCATTCCAGGCAACAGCAGACGCTAAACCTGAGGGCAAGGATGTGCCTGGAGTGTCTGAGCAGCTGGAGCAGGTTGTGTGCTTGGAAGTGAGAGATGAGAGGGTGATAGGAGAGTCAGATGACATGGTGTCCAGCTTTTGAGGACCTTTGGGATGACTGAGTGAGCTGTCAGCAGGAAAGGTTGGTGACTCAATAAGGTTTTAAATAATGAACTGAGGCGGCTGTGCTGGGAACAGCCTTTCTGTTTGTCTGTTGGGAGGAGGGGAGAAGTGATGAATGTTGGGAGGGGGTCAGAAGACCATTTCCTGCGCTCAGGAGGAAATAGGAAATCCTGCAAGTGCAAGGTGGCAGTGGAGGTGGCGATGACACTTCTGACACTGGACATGCTGTGAAGACACAATTGCTGAACACACAACAGCAGCAGCAGAGCCTTGAACCCAGCCCAGGTCACCTAATAGCAGCCCCTGTGCCATGTGTCCACTCACCTGCCTGCTGCAGAGGGAGCTCCGAAAGCGGAGCCAGGCTCTGAAGCTGTGCTCCTGCTCTGGGACCCTCTGAGTTTGCTGAAAACAGATGTGAATGTCATGCGTGTCACCGGAAGCCTTATGCTCTTTGGTGCAGTGAGGAGCTAGGAAGCCCTGAACTGACTGGGAGGCCCTGCTGAAGGAACTGGGCTCTCCAGGCTGGCTGGTGGTGGGGACTCAATGAAGAGGAAGGTCCAGGGATCCCCCACGCTCATGCTCTTCATCTGGAATAAAAAACAGCACCCTAGAGTGAGGGGCCTATGTTCAACAATGCACGGAGCATTGTGTGGGGGGGGGGGGGGGAGGCAGGATGGGCGGAGCGGTGCTCAAGGGTCACAAAACATAATAGTCAAAATCCCTAGTGTCAAGGTCCTTTGTGCAGTGGCAGGGGAGCGGGGTCTTGCCTGTCAGTCTGTCTGCCCAGCACCCCTCCCCTTAGGTCCTGGTGATGGAGGAACAAGCACAGGCTCTAAGCTGAACCAGTCTGGGGTTCTCTGTCCCTGGTCACACCAACTCAGGAGTGAGCACGTGACCTGAGTTGGACAAATCAGAATCCTTTCCTGGGACTTTGCAGCCTGGAGCTGAGGGAGAAGTCCTAGTCCACTCCAGTTGGAAGGGGCCGGGATGGCTGCCCAGAGCTGTGGTGTTTTTTTTTTCCATTACCTGGAAGCCTTCCCATCCACAGCCACTGGAGACATCTTTAAGTCGTTCCTAAGCCAGACCTCCTCCCACAGGGACACACAGTCCCTTCCTGCTGATATAGTTGGGCTGGGCTTCCCTCACTGGCAACCAAGAATCCTGATGAGTCTGGAGGCCTCAGGACAGCAGGCTGTGGGAGAAAGAAGTGAAATGTGCTCCGTTTCAGGCCTGGCGGAAGCGAGCAGCACAAGTGGGTGAAGGCAAGGCTGGCCTGATGGCTTGTGTCACCACGAGAGAAGAAAGCTAAGTGAGCCTGGGGGCTCAGCCAGTGTCCCAGGGCACACGCTCACCTAGCCCTTACCTGGAGGGCAGCTGCAGTTCTGGCCGCCCACCCCCCAACCGGCTGTTGCCCACCCACCCCTGCCCACCAAGACTTGACACCATTTGGAGGTGCTTCCAACACCCACTGAAGGACCTCACATTAGAAGCTCGGATGCGGGACTTGGAATCACTCTCCAGGTGACTCCCAACTCCCAAGAGTAGCCAGGGCTGAGGATCATTGCTCTGACCCAGTCAGGCAGATGTTTAGGGTCCACACATTATAGGTCACAGAGTTGGAAAAGACAGGATGGGAGATTAGTCAGGAGCCTCCTGAAAAGATTTCTGCGGCCATGGTTCACTGCTTCTGCCTCAGGAGTCTGACAGCCTCCATGCAATCCCAGCTCTGCTGAGCTTCCACTGTGTGACTGGGTCAAGTTACTTTACCTCTCTGACAAATGCTACAAGGTGCATGAACCTTGAAATCACCAGGCTAAGTGAAATGAGACTGACACAGAAGGACAAATATTATGTGATTCCGCTTACACAAGGTACACAGAATAGGCGAATTCATAGAGACAGAAAACACAAAAGAAGTAACCAAGCACACACAAAAAAAATAAAGGGAGTTGGGGGTGGGGAAGAAGTTACCAAGCACTGAGAGAAGGGGGCATGGGAATTAGTGTTTAATGAAACAGTCTCAGTTTGGGTAGATATAATTGTTCTGGAGACAGATATAAATTCACAACAATGTGAATGTACTTAATGTCTCTGAATTGTACCCAAAAAATCATTGAAATGGGGCCTCCCTGGTGGCACAAGGGGATAAGACACAATCTATGAAAGTCAGTGCAGCCACTGCAGCATGAGTTTGAACCCCAGCCAGGGAGCTACCCACATGGCACAGCAGACTTCTCCTGGCTCGCCCGCTGCTCCCCTCAGCAGTGTATTTCAGTCCACCTGCCTGTTCTGTTCCCCACTCTGTCTCTGGTGAATCCTCTCACCCCCACAACTCTGGCCTGTACCCAGTTCTTGTATGTATATAAATTTTTTTTAGATTTTTTAAATTATTTATGCATAGAAAAACTGGGGTACAGGCCAGAGGCGTGGGTGGTGAGAGGATTCACCAGAGACAGAGTGGGGAACAGAACAGACTGACTGACTGAAATACACTGCTGAGGGGAGAAGTGGGTGAGTCAAGAGAGGTCTGCTGCGCCATGTGGGTAGCTCCCTGGCCGGAGATCAAACTTGTGCTGCAGTGGCTGTGGATAGCTTCATAGGTTGCGTCTTAACCCCTTGTGCCACCAGGGAGGCCCAATAAATCTTTATTATTAAAAAAATTAAAATGTTTATGCCATGGGCCTCCCTGGTGGTGCAAGGGACTAAGCACAGCACTATGAAGCAATCCACAGCCTCTGCAGCACGAGTTTGATCCCCAGCTGGCCAGGGAGCTACCTACATGGTGCAGCAGACCTCTCCTGTCTTGCCCGCTGCTCCCCTCAGCAGTGTATTTCAGTCAGTCTGCTTGTTCTGTTCCCCACTCTGTCTCTGGTGAATCCTTTCACCCCCCTCCCCCCCACCCCGCATCTCTGGCCTGTACCCCAGCTCTTGTATGCATAAATAAATAAATCTTTAAAAAAAAAGATTTATGCTGGGGCTCCACGGTGGTGCAGCAGTTGAGCCCCATGCTGCAAAGCTGTAAGCGGCTTCTGCAGCACCAGTTCGATTCCCCGCTGGCCAGGGAGAACACCACATGGCGCAGCAGACCTCTCCTGCCTCGCCCGCTGCTCCCCTCAGCAGTGTCTTCATCGCTCTGCTCCTCTGCTCCCCACTCTGGCTCTGGTGAATTCTCTCACCCTCCCTCGCTTCTGACCTGTGCCCCAGTTCTTGTATAAAATAAATCAATCTGGGCCTCCCCGCTGGCGCAGCGGTTGAGCGCTGGGTTGCGAAGCTGCCCGCGGCCTCTGCGGCGCCGGTTCGATCCCCGGCTGCTCCCCGGCCATCGGAGGAGGGTCCCACATGGCGCGCAGACCTCTCCTGCCGCCCGCTGCTCCCCTCAGCAGTGTACTTTGGTCCTTCTGCTTGCTCTGCTCCCCGCTCTGGCTCTGGTGAATTCTCTCACCCTCCCGCACTTCTGACTGTACCCAGTGCTTGTATAAATAAATAAATAAATAAAAATTAATCTTAAAAAAAAAAAAAAAGAACAGGTTATATTTAAAAATAAAATAAAATAAATCAATCTAAAAAAAATTTATGCTATGTATATACAATAAAATAGTCACCTGATACTGCAATAGATATATTGTGGCTATGTTTCAAATGAATTAATAATATTTGTGAAATCTGTCCGTGTTCATTGGAAAGCTAAATAGTGATAGAATCCACACAAACAAGAATTCCTTGAGATGCTCAGTAACTTCTAAAGGTTTAGAACAACCAACTACTTGAGAACCTCTCATGTATGTACAGCTGAAGTGAACTTGAACTAAGCTGGCCCCACACTTCTCTGCAAAGATCTGCAAACTGAGGCTCCCTGGTGGTGCAAGGGGTTACAACACAACCTATTTAGCTATCCTCAGCCACTACAGCATGAGTTCAATCCCTGGCCGGCCAGGGAGGTTACACACACAGCACAGCAGACCTCTCCTGACTCACCCACTGCTCCCTCAGCATGTATTTCAGTCAATCCACCTGTTCTGTTTCCCACTCTGTCTCTGGTGAATCCTCTCACGTCCCACACCTCTGGCCTGTACCCCAGTTCTTGTATGCATAAATAAATAAATCTTAAAAAAAAAAAAAAAAATCTGCAAACTCCCAGGAATTGATTCTCAAAAATGTAGTTTCCCCTCACTAAAATAAATAGGCGACCTCTAGTGGAGATATAAGGTATTGCCTGACAGCGCAAATTTCTCAGCTGAGTAATTTGATTGAGTCCACTGGAATTCTATCGATAAAACATAGGTAGACATCCCTGCCTGAAAGGAGGGCTTTATCTCATCATATTAACTTTAAATACTGAACCATCCCTCCTCTCATGCACACTCACACACACAAATCACACACAGACACAACTAGACGCTCACAAGAGACACAGGCACGATCAGAGTCATCCTTACATACTCACACACAAACCCACATACACACACACACACACAGATACTGTCACACACTCAGAGACACAGCCCCACACAGGGACACCTTCACACAGGAAACACACACACAACACTAAAAACAGCAAATCATTAACAAAGGGGACTTAGCAGATGAACGCCACTATTTTTAAAACACTGTAATGGAAAATACGTTTGGTCCCAAAGTCATTAAATAAATGTTGAACAAATAATTAAGATGAATCTTGGTTTGGCAGAGCGCCCGATAAGAGGTCCATAATCCCTTAACGGAAGTCCTTGGGGACGGATGGGTTTCGGAACTCAGAAGAGTTACAATTTTAGAACAGTGATTGGGAGCCAATGCCATATATTACATAACACTGCCAGGGACCTGAGACAGCACCCTCCGCCTCAGACTTGTTAATGTACTTGCAGTAAAATGCACGGAAAATTCACACCAAAAGAAATAGTGTAAATAACATTATTACTGGACTTGCCACCATGTGAGACTGAGTCAAAATGAAAACACTGCCTCCCTTCTCCCTCCCAAAAAAAGTATTTCTGGTTGTCGGAACTTTTTGGAATTCAGAATTACGAATAAGAGATACAGGATTCTATTAGCAAATCCATCACAGAGAATCTATAAATATTTCTGTCTTCAATGTAAGTCTCCCACCCCAAGAGGGTGTGGGGGGTTGAGAGGGACAGCCTCACTTCCTCCACTCTCCCCCTCACTAATTCCACTCCAACCACTCTGGCCTCCACTGTTCCTTCAACTGCCAAGCACCTACAGCCTGAGGGCCTTTGCACTTGCTGCTCCCACTTCCTGGAGCACTGCCCAGGAGGTCTTTATGCCCCACCTTCACCTCCCATGGGCTTCTACCCAGTAACCAGCAACTTCCTCACTTTCTATCACCTTTATTCTGATTTATTTTTCCCTTTGTGCTTATTATTATCTGACCTAACTATTCCATAAACAGTTATCCAGGGCCTCCCCGGTGGCAGTGGTGCAGCGGTTGAGCGCTGGGTTGCGAAGCTGCCCGCAGCCTCTGCAGCGCCGGTTCGATCCTCGCTGCTCCCCTGCCACCAGAGGAGGGTCCCGCATGGCGCGCAGACCTCTCCTGCCGCCCGCTGCTCCCCTCAGCAGTGTACTTCATCAGTCTGCCTGCTCTGCTCTGCTCTTTGCTCTGCCTCTGGTGAATTCTCTCACCCTCCTGCGCTTCTGACTGTATCCAGTGCTTGTATAAGTAAAATAAAAAAAAAAAATAGTTATCCATTGAGGGCCTCCCTAGTGATGCAAGGGGTTAAGCACCGCACTATGAAGCAATCTGTAGCCTCTGCAGCACGAGTTCAATCCCCGGCTAGCCAGAGAGCAATCCACATGGCAAAGCTGCCTCTCCTGTCTCCCTGCTGCTCCGCTCAGCAGTGTATTTCAGTCAGTCTGCCTGTTCTGTTCCCCACTCTGTCTCTCATAAATTCTCTCACCTCCGCATCTCTGACCTGTACGCCAGTTCTTGTGTGTATAAATAAATAAATCTTTAAAAAAAAAGTTATCCAATGAAAGCCTAAGAGAGAGTAAGCAAGAGACGCTGAGAAAAACAGGGAGAAGGGAAGAAAAAAAAAAAAAAAACAAAGAAAGGGAAGGAGATGGGAAAGTGAGGGAGGCTGAGCCTAGGGGGAGATGTGGGAAAGGAAGGTGGGGCAGGAAATAGAAAGCAAGGTGGGGGGGGAGGGGTGAGCAAGATGGGAGGAGAAGAGTGGAGAGAAGAAATAGAAATCTGGGGTGAAGTGTAGCAGAGATGAGAGTCGGAGAGATACAGAATGAGGGACAGAGACAGACAGTATCAAGTGACATCAAGGAGAGACAAGAAACACACACAGATTAGGAGACAGAGAGACAAATACAGAAAGAAAGAGAAAGGGGGAGAGAAGGTGGAGAGGGCACCACAGAGATAAGAAGACAAAGAAAGAGATGAGGAGAAATAGGGCTGGGAGAAGAAAGCCAGAAACTAGAAAGAGGGGGCCAGTGTGAAGACAGATGGGAGCCCCCACTCTAGCTCACCCTTTGCTGGTGTCCAGGGCTCTGTGCTGACTTGATCTCCCTGTGGATCCAAGTTATGGTTTTTAAAACCCTGAGGCACAGGGCCTCCCTGGTGGCACAGGGGTTAAGCCTCAGTGCTATGACACTATCGCCAGCCACTATAGCACGAGTTCGATCCTCAGCCAGGGAGCTGACCCACATGGCGCAGCAGACCTCTCTGGTCTCCCCGCTGCTCCCCTCAGCAGTGTATTTCAGTCAGTCTGCCTGTTCTGCTCCCCACTCTGTCTCAGGTGAATCCCCTCACCCCCTGCACCTCTGGCCTGCACCCCAATTCTTGCATGCATAAATAAATTCACATAAATCATTAAAAAAAAGCAGAGAGATGGGACAGAGATGGGTGGAGAAAGAGAACATGCAAAGCTGTTTTAAGGGTTGTAAGTCACTGGCTTATTTAATCTTCAGAGTAACTCTGTGAAACAAATACTACGATTATCTTCATTTTACAGAACCAGGGAGGTTGAGTCTTTGGCTCAAAGTCATACAGCTAGTGAGAGGATCCGCTGGGATTTGAACCTGGGATTTTGGTGCCAAAGTCAGTGTCCCTAATTATCTGTACTAACTGTACTGGGCTGCTTGTTTCCAGTGTTCCCTTTAAGTCCGGAGGCACCCTATGAGAAGTAGAAGAGAGGAAGGAGACAGAGTGACCGCCATTCCCAGCTGTCCATGTCCACTTGACCCTGTCTGAGGGAGGAGGCTCAGCTTCACTCCCTTGAAAAAGCCTCTAGTTGGAGAGAGGAGACTGAAGAGAGAAACTGCCTCCTGCTGGTAGTATCCCATGCCCAGGGCCTCCCCGGTGGTGCAGCGGTTGAGCGCTGGGTTGCGAAGCTGCCCGCAGCCTCTGCAGCACCAGTTCGATCCCCAGCCGATCCCCGGCTGCTCCCCAGCCACCAGAGGAGGGTCCCACATGGCACACAGACCTCTCCTGCCGCCCGCTGCTCCCCTCAGCAGTGTACTTCGGTCCTTCTGCCTGCTCTGCTCCCCGCTCTGGCTCTGGTGAATTCTCTCACCCTCCCACGCTTCTGACTGTACCCAGTGCTTGTATAAATAAATAAAAATAAATCTTTTATAAATAAATAAATAAATAAATAAATAAAAAGAATCCCATGCCCAGCTCTGGACGTGGCCAGTCTTCTAGGTGGGAAAAGACTCATCTGCAGGGCCTCCCTGGTGGCACAAGGGGTTAAGCACAGCACTGTGAAGCTATCCACAGCCTCTGCAGCACAAGTTCAATCCCCGGCCAGGGAGCTACCCACATGGTGCAACAGACCTTTACTGACTCACCCACTGCTCCCCTCAGCAGTGTATTTCAGTAGATCCTCCTGTTCTGCTCCCCATTCTGTCTCTGATGAATCCTCTCACCCACTGCACCTCTGGCCTATACCCCAGTTCTTCTATGCATAAATAAATTTTAAAAAAAAGACTCACCTACATGTGACTTTTTCGGTACCTAGACCTGAGGTTCTCCATCTTCCTTTCCCCCAGCACTGCAGACCAGAGAGGTTGCATTAGTCTTGAAAGAAGACAAAGTGCTTTGACAGCTTGTTTTCCAAGGAGAGAGAAGACCCACTGCCACCCTGTGCACCCTCCTCTCTCACAGCTGCATCCTGGCAGCTCAGGCTAATGGCCTACCCCCAACATTTAAGTCTACTAAGAGCAACTCCTAGGACCCCAGTTCTTGCTGGAAATCATCCACCCCCTCCTGTTTCCTGTGCTGCAGCAGAAGGGCAGACCCTCTGCTTCTCTCCAGAAGAACTCTGCCCAAGAATGCTAAGAATTGTGCGGTCCTTCTCACTGACCTTCAACTACCCTGTCGCAGAGAAGGTTCTTTTCCCACCCCAACCCCAAAGCCACATGAAAGCGATGGAAGAAACACACACGCCCTCGCCCCGGGGAAGGGGAGAAGCCCACACAGACTACCCAGGGCAGGAGAGACAAAGATCAGACGCCAGGAAGGACTTCCACTCACAAACTTAGGAGGGAGGCACCTCTGCAGACAACACGAAAAACAACAGCACAAGGCAGTTGGGGTTGGAGTTTATTGTAGATGGACAGTCGGACATGGAGATTCTAGGAGGGTGGCGGCCTGTGGGCTCAACATTCTACGGAGGAAAGATCACGAGGCAGCAGTCAGGATGGGGTCGCCAGATGGTGGAGGACCCGCCTGACAGTGGAGAAGCTTCGAGGGGCGAGGCCCCGAGTCAGCCTCTCTTCGCCCCCCATTCTTCATGGTGATGGTTTGGAGACGCTGGGCGACGTCATGAAGAGGCAGCCCGGCCCCAACGGGGGAGGGCGCATCCGCGGTGGGGGTGCCGGGCCCTGGAGGGCCGGTGGTCCAGGCTGGGGTGAAACGGAGGGTTACCCCGGTCCTCGGCCTCCCGCGGCCTCGGGCGTCTCTCCCGGCGGCTGGCGGCCCGGGTCACTGTGGCGGCGGCTGCGCGGCAGCTCGAGCTGGGGTCGCGGCTCACCGGGGGCTCCCGGGAGGCAGGAGACCGAGGCAGCGGCGGACGCCGGGGCAGGCGGCGGGCCAGCGCGGGCGGCGCACGGAGGGGCCGGCGCGCTGGGCGGAGGGCCGGCCGGGCCGGCCGGGGGCCTCGTGGGAACCCAGATGAGACCGTAGTAGACGGCGAGCAGCACGGCGGCCAGCGAGACGCAGAGGAAGTAGGCGCAGACCGGGGCCAGGCGCAGCCAGCGGCCCCGCGGGCCCTCGCTCAGCCCGGCGCCACCCGGGCTCTCGCCACCGCCGCCCACGCAGCTCGTGCCCCGCATCCCCGCAGCCCACTCGGCCCCGCGCCGCGGTCCGCGAGGCCCCGCCCCCCGAGGCCCGCCCCCGACGGGGACCGCCCCCGCGCTGTGAAACCCGCGGGCCCAGCCCCGCCCCAGCAGCATGGCCACGCCCCCGCGCCCGCCCCCCCCTCGGTTTCCGGCCAGCCAGGATCAAGCGAAGGCTGAAGCACAGCGCCCTGACCCCACCCCACTTGGCCTTGGCCCCGCCCCGCTTTGCAATGCCGCTTACCATCTCAGCGGCTGGTCTCCGCCCACCCACTCCTGCCCGAATTCGGGATAACTTACGTCTCTTAATGCCCAGCCCTCCCAGCGCTTAACTCCATCCTCCTCTTTTCTGTCCTCCACACCCTCTACCCCGGCCCTTCGTAAAGGGAAACGGCCCCGCCTCCGAGCCCCACCCATTTGCCAGACTCTAAGTCCCGAACCCCCTTAGCCGCAGCCTTTCCCCGACGCCCTCCCCACCGCACTAAATTCCCTTTCTCCGAATTGCATTCTAATTCAGGTTTCGATTACCCCGGTAGCAGCACCCCACAGGGCGAACTTGCATCAAAACCTTCTCTCCCGACCCCACCCCACCGCCTAACGCCGTCCACCAAAATGCTGGTCCCGTCTAGGCACCCTAGCCACGCCCCACTCGGGACCGGCCTTCTTTTCCTCACTGGCGTCCTGGACGTCTACGCTCACGCCCTAAAGCTCCAGCTCTGCCCCACGCCTCAATCACACCCCTTCCCTAGCTCCTCCCCCACCACCCTCGATTTCTCCCTCTCCCTAATGCCATGGGGTCCAAGTGGGCTCCGGGAAGGAGACAGCATTGCCTGGAAAGCCAGACTAGACTAACCCCTCCTGCCGCCCCTTGCCCATCACGGTGGGGAAGCTTCAGTCCCCTCCCAGAAGAGTCTTCATGAATTCGGGGAAGCCTGCAAGGGGGGTGGGGGAGGGAAGACATATCAGGGGGGCGGAGGAATTAAGAACCCTTTCACCCACCTCGTGCGCCAAGGCAAAGCCCACCAAGCACAGCAATCCGACCTGCACCCGCCAGAAACACAGTTCAAAGGTTAGCGGAAGCACTGAATTTAATAGACACGGGCTATGGCCCAGTAATTAAAGTCATTGGGAAAAGTCACTGGCTATCTGCCATGCCCCAGATGTAAACTCCTGGAGGTGGGAGCCTCAGCCCCGGGACTGGCGCCGAGGTTCCCTTGGCCTCCATAGGCAGATAACTGGGGTGGGGGGGAAGGGAGGAGCATCTCAGCTACCCCGTTCCTTGGCTCTCTTATTTGTGAGACTGGACCTGGGTTCACAGTCCCTGGCTCCTCCCCCCTTACATTTAACCCTCTCCTGGCTGGAGTGTGGTGTGAGCAGAAGACAGAGCGAAATGGAGGGAGGTTAGTGCAGAGCGCGGAGGCCACAGTCGGCAGACTCGGTCAGCGGGCAGCCCCAGGTGGCTCAGCAACCACCACCACTTTGCAGAAACGCACCCTCTGGAAGTCAGTGATCTCCGCTGTCTCCTGGCCCTCAGGGACCGCCTCTGGGAAGAGAAGGGACCGTTAATGGTTGGGAAGAGTAACCCCCCCTCCCCAGTAGTCACCTGGACCCCTGGTTGTGGCCCTCATGCAGAGCCTGACCAGTGGGTCCACGAAGTATCAATACATACACTGTAACTGTCTACAACGGAGGAAATAATCTGGTAGAAAGACAGTGGGCACTTAGCCAATACCTGGCCCAAAGGGCAAAGCACTTTTCCACCTCACTGGCCTTCTAAATCTGCCCAATGGATCCAGTCCCGGCTAAGCTGCCTTAACCAACTGCTATCTGCCTGCCCTGCTATCAACCGCCCCCTCTTCCTCAGGTCCGCTTCCTTGACTGCCCCCAAATTCATGGTTTGCAACCTGGCTTCCCATTTCTGGAAAATAAGGGTTGGCCTCTTGCTCCAGGTTCTTTGGGCCCAACATTCTGAGTCTGCATTTCTAATTTACTCCATCCCTGACTCCATAAAACTCTTAATCTCACCCAGCCCACCCTAAATCCATTCCAGCCCTTCCCTATTCTTATTCCAGACCAATTTAAATAGCTAATCTTGCCCTTAACTCTGCCCTACCTCCTCCGTTTTACCTGGGGGTTGGCTTCTAAACTCTAATCCCATCCTAGATCCACCTGACTGCCAGCCCCTGGCAATGTGCCTGGCTCTGAAAGTCCTTCCTTCAGCTCCAACCCAACCCCGGTTCCACCCCACCCTCACCCAGCATTGGAGCCTCCCCCAGGTTCAGCAGCATGGCAGACCCTCACCACCACCATGGCAGACAACGCCCCCCTCCTCCCAGAAAGCCCCAGAGAAAGAGGAAGACAGGCCACCTCCACCAATTCCTTCTACTCCCCCACCTGGAGCAACCTCAGACCCCTCCTCTTCAGCTTTCTGGGATCCTGGGAGGCTGGGTCCACTTTCCGGGGAGGCAGGGGCTGGCCGGTCACCTCCTAGGAAGGGGGAGGCCCAGTCAAGCCCCTCCCCTCCAAACAGACCTCTCCCACCATGAGATCTAAGGCCCTGGGAAGTGAGGGGGTTCAAGGACACACTGGGGGAATGTTAGAGAACGCCAACTCTTTATTGGGGGGGGGGGGCTGCTGGTCTAAGCAGGGGCACGAACTGGGGTAGGCACTGCAGAGATGGTGTGGCCGGTACATAGAGGAGACGAGGTCAGTCCTCCCCAGCCACCAGGGTGGGCACACCGGGTCCCAGGGCCCAGCCTCCCAGGCCCGTGCACCCTCCAGCACACACACAAGCAGCAGCTTCATGCACTTTCAAAAGGCCAGGCCTCACCCGGAGAGAGGGCATCCGCCGGGTGGGCGGTCCGGGGAGAATTCAGCTCCATCTCTTCACCCCAGTCGGACACTGGTTGGTGGCCCCCGGGGGGCGAGAAGGGGCTAGAAGGCGTGGCAGGGGCCTGGGGAAGCACCAGGGGCTCCTCGGGTCTGGAGGGCACTTTGTCCACTTGCTCACTGGCGGGACTCCCGGCGGGTTCAGCTTCTTGGGGTTGGTGGTCTTGGGCTGGTTCTTCCTCGTCAGCCTCTTCTTCCTCCTCAATCTCCTCCTCGTCCTCACTCACATCCTCCCATTCTTCATCCTCATCCTCCTCCCCTTCTTCCTCATCCTCCTCCTCCCCCTCCTCCTCTCCTTCATCCTCAGGAGGCCGGTGGGCAGGGGCTGGGGTCTCGGGAGGCTGTGGGGAACACAAGGCAGGTTGGGGGAGGGCGCAGGTCCCGAGTGTCCCACACCCTCTGCCCAGAGATGACAGCCCGCTGTACCTGCGTGGGCATCTCCTCAGGGGTGGGCTGTGGGGCCTCAGGGGCTGAGGACACTATCTCCTTCGTTTCCCAACGGTCATCATGGTCACTGGAGGGGACAGAAGAAGGGGGTAAAGCCCAGGGGGCCAGTGGAAGGGGCTTCTCACCTCAGCTCCTCCTCTGAAAGCAAAATTCTACTTGGGGGGACAGAGAGGCCAGGGAACTTCCCGAGGACCCAGCACACAGGAGCACTGAGGAGCAAACAGTGTCAGTGACAGAAGAAAGAAAAGCAGGGGCCTCCCTGGTGGCGCAAGGTGATGAGCACCGCACTGTGAAGCAGTCCACAGCCTCTGCAGCACGAGTTCGATCCCCAGCCAGCCAAGAAGCAGCCCACAGCAGGGACCTCAGCAGACCTCTCCTGTCTTGCCCGCTGCTCCCCTCAGCAGTGTATTTCAGTCAGGCTGCCTATTCTGTTACCCACTCTGTCTCTGGTGAGTACTCTCACCCCCCACACCTCTGGCCTGAACCCCAGCTCTTGTATGCACAAATAAATAAATCTTAAAAAAAAAAAAGAAAGAAAAGCAGAGAACCAGGTCCCAAGCCTCCCAACCAAGTGCCTGAGCCACAAGTACCGGAGGCAGACAGGGCCAAGGTGGGACAGACGGAACACACACACGCAAGCGCGCGCACGCGCATCAGAGAACTACCAGTGACAGAGTCACACAGCACCTGTAGGCACGGGGGACTGCCTTGGCCTGGGGTCGGCTGTTCTTCCTCCTCCTGCGGCTGACCTCAGCTTTGTGCTGGGACAGGAACTCCCCAAAAGTAGGGGGTTTGGGAGGTCGAGCCCAGGCCTGATCATCTGCAACAGAACCCAGGAAGAGTCAGAGTTGGGGGGAATAACCCCTGATCACCCCCCATGCTGTTGCAGGCAGCTGCTCACCCCACCCTAGGTCCCCCCACTCACCATAGCGGTGTGATGGTTCCAGGGCAGTGGCTGGGCCATCCTTGAACCTGGGAAAGGGAAAAAGAGTAAGCAGGTGGCTGGGGGAGCATGAGGAGAGGAAGAAGCAGGGTCAGAATGAAGATCACTGACAACTGTGTCTGATCAGAATGTTGCCACTGATTAGAAGAACAGCAGGACTGGGGGATGGGTGAGAGTAAACTTCACATGGTAGTAAAAATCACAGCAAACTCAGTATTTGAGCCCCAAAACAAACAACTCCCTGCCTATCAGTCTTTCTCACCTCCCCAACTAGGTGGGTTCTTCTACCCAGCTCTGGCCTCACGGCCTTTGCACCTGGCTGGCAACCCCTGAAACACTGCTCCTCAGAGCTTCCAGTGGCTTCTTCCCCCACCTCCTTAAGGCCTCAGCTCCAAGCTCTTTCCTAAACCCCCAAGTGAAACAGTCACGCCTTAGCCATATCATCTCCCAACAACTGCCCTGCACGCTGCTAGGTGTTCACCACCGCAGACGTGAGCTCTTTTCACCACCCATCCTTCCCACTGAACTCTGAGGTCCCTGAAGGCACACTCTGCTATATCCCCATCACCTAGAAGCTTCCAGGACTCACAGGAGGGAGTCAATCAGTGTCTACTGATAAACCAACACAGACGTGTGCTAATCAGACACGGACAGTGCAGGCGATCACTCCATCGTTCTTCACCCTGAAAACATCTCCCCCAAAGCCCAGCGGTCCGCACACCGAGAGCAGCTACCACATCTGCGTGAAATATTCCTCATGCTCCCTGGGCTCAGCTCACACTGCAACCACCAGGCACACAGACCCATCCCTACTCTCTAGCCAGAGCCAATGGTCAAAGTCAAGGCGTGAGAAAGCTCCCCACGCCGCCGAGGGCAGAGGTGGCATGAAAAACTGAGTTTCCCTCCTCGACTCTCAGAACGGACTGTCTTTGCTGAGGAAACTGGCAGCCCATCAAGGACATCGGAGGCTTCTGCTTTAGGTCTGATGGGCTGTTACCAGGGAAAAAGGCAGACTTCAGATGACAGTGCCACCTGGACAGGTAAGAGGAGTAAAGGCAGAAACAAAGGTCTAATGGCCACTGGCAGTGCCTGTGTTGCCCCGCATGAAGATGCACCACCCGCTGAAGCTCGCAGTCACTGCCACCCCAGCAAGAGGGCTGCAGCCTAACTCAACGGGAAGCATTTCCGCTCACCCTCCATCTCTGCCAATGCCATGATCAGGGCTTCCCCAGTAGCTGCTGCCCTTGAGTCTTGACCCCAGAACAAACACACATGGGGGACTCAAGCCCAGCTGAAACCCCAGCTTAAATTCCAGCCTGGGTCAGTGAGCCAGGCCGACCTGCGACACACTACACTTGGTGCTGGATTCATGCAACCTTACCACAGCGATCAGAGACACAGGGGCACCAACGTCAAGGAATCAGACGTCAGGGATAAGGTCAAGAGGTCAAAGGAGGGCCTCCCTGGTGGTGCAAGGGGTTGAGCACCGCACTGTGGAGCAGTCCACAGCCTCTGCAGCAGGAGTTCGATCCCCAGCCGGCCAGGAAGCAGCCCACATGGCGCAACAGACCTCTCCTGACTCGCCCTCTGCTCCCCTCAGTGGTGCGCTTCGGCCGCTCTGCCTGTTCTGTTCCCCACTCTCTCTGGTGGATCTTCTCACCCCAGCATCTCTGGCCTGTATCCCAGTTCTTGTATGCATAAATAAATAAATCTTTAAAAAAAAAAAGATCAAAGGAGAGAAGGCTCACATCCCATCGGTCTTCTCAGCATCCCACTCCCGCCGCCACTGGCCAGTGGGTTTGCGGTGTCTCTGCAGCCGCTCCTGGTCGATCTTCTCTCTCTCCTGCTTCCAGCGCAGGTACTCCGACCGCTCCCGGCCCGTCATGGAGAGCGTCATGTCCCCGGCACCGCCCAGGCCGGCCCGGCGGCCCTGCCCACAGCAGACAGGTAGTCAGGGCCCTGTCCAAGCCCCACCCCCTCCAGCATCAGCTCAGAGGAGGCACCGCCTGCTCAAGGCCACACACACGAAGAAAGGGCAGCGTGGAGATGAGAACCAGGTCGGCGCAAGCGCCCTCTCCTAAGCAGCTGGGCTCTGGGCTCTCCTAAGCAATCTGGGCTCTGATTGGCTCTCCCGGCTGGGGCCTTCTTCACCTTCACTATCGCCTGCCATATTATCACAGCACATATGCACTTCTCACGGCCCCACAGCAGGACGCAGTCAGGGCAGGCACCTGCCTCATTCACAGCTCTGATCCCCACAGCAGCTAAGACAGTACCCAGCACCCACAGGCATCCCTATTACTAAGGTCAGGGACAACAGACAACATCAGAACAGACCCTACAGGTATGAAAGCGATAGTGGTGTGGCAGGGGCACAAAATCCACAGACAATTTGGGGGTGAAGGGCTGTAAGCAGGGACACTGCCTCTCCCTCCTGTCTCCTGGCTGGTGAAAGGAGACACCCCCTGCCCATACCTACCTGCCGCTCCTGCTCAAGACCAGAGCGCACCCGCTCAAAGTCGGGGCCCCCCCAGTTGCGCCCATGCCGGCGGCTGCCCTCCCGGCGGTCACGCTCTGGCTCCTCCAGGGGCCCACCACGCCGCCGGGGGTCATCCAGGAAGTTGCGCACAGGGTTAGGCTCCAGCACACCTTCCTGCGGGCAAGGGTTGGTGGGTCAGGGGTTCTACCCCCTACTCTGGGGAGGGCAGGGCCGCCCAGGCACTGACCCGCTGGTGGCGTTCATACTCGGCAATCTTCTCCATCTCCTCATTCATCTTCTCAATGTTCTGCCTGCGCCGCTCCTCCCACTCCTGGGGAGACAGACACACCGGCATCAGCCAACCCTGTGGTAGCTCTGACACACAGGCCGGAGACTGCTCTCCTCGGGCCTTGGCTGGCATCTGGGAATTCGACTCTGGGTGTCCCCAGCGGACAGTTAATTGATGAGGGGAGCAAAGGACCAAGGTCACATCTCGACTCCCCAACTCTACAGTTAGATGCTGAGTGCCTTCATCCCCCTGAAATCCGGACTCTGGGTGTGCACTAGACAGAGGGGGCTGAGGGGACCCGCCACCACCTGGATACAGGTCCCAAGGGAGCAGTCCTGGTCGGAACCCTCAACAGGTGGTCAGGACTCGTACTGAGGAGGTGAGCACCCAACTCCGGAGGGGAAGGACTCCTGGATTCACTCCATGCCCCTCACCCCTCTGTTGGTTTCACTGTGTCTCTTCAGGTACGAATCTTTCTAGCAAAACCCTGAACCTGAGTGGGCCTTGGCCCCCGACACACCATGACTGCCCCAGCAGTAACCACAACAGAAGCAGGCAATGTGGCCGGGGGCTGGGTGAGCCCACGAGCTGTTCCTACTGCCCCCATGGAGACAGGGGTTTAGACGTGTACGCGGCCAAGCGGCCGTAAGTGACGGCTTCACTTTTCACTCCCAGGGCACAGCATACGAGAGAAATAAACTTCCACTAGATTTCGGCCATGGGTTTGGGGTCTTTTTGTTACAGCAGCTTCAACATGTACAAATAAACATTAGGGCTCGATGGATGCCTGATGTCCCAGAAGTCACACAGTCACCTTTAAATCTGATTAGCATTCCCCACTAAGAGGGAGAACCCAAAAGCTTTCAGGGGAGACCAAACTGCCAAAGGTCAGGGAACTGACAGAGCCAGGTTGACAGCAAATTACAGTGGCCTCTAAGCCATTATGCTAGGAAGCCCCCCCACCCTGCTGAAGGGGTGACCAGCACGGTGGCAGCACACACCATAAAACTGTCACTGCACCCCACAAACCCAGGGATGGGGACAGAGCCCATGCACTGGACAAAATGTGCCAGACAGACAGACCGAGAGCCAGGAACAGAAGAGAAAGCTGGGGAGAGGAGTGGACAAGCAGGTACCACACAGACAAGGTAAAAGGCAGCAGGGCGAGCACATCCAAGCCCTGGTCAGTGGGGAAGAGAAGGAAACGCACGGATGGGGGGAAATCTGAAAAACAGGACCAACAGCTAAGTGCAAAACCACCCACTTGAGAGTGGGAACAGTCCAGACAGCAAGCACCTCAGCCAGGAGACTCCAGCCCCTTCACCTCTCCTACCTTGGATTTCCGGTCAGCAGTGGCGGCATCTCCAGCTCCAGAGAGATGAGGGGACCCTCTGCCCCGGCCCCTCCGGCCGCGGCCCCCAGATCCTCGAGAATGCTCCCCAGGACTGTCCTCCCAACTTCGGGATGCCCGGCCCATGCCTGCCCTGCCGCCCAGCTGAGGGGGAGGTCGGCTTCCTTTGCTGGGCCCAGGGGGCCGAGGTGTCCCAGGAGACCTCCGGGAGGGACCGAGGTTCCTATCCTGAAAAGGGAGAAAGTACAGTCACCGGGGTGGGGAGGCCCAGAGAGGACAGCTGCCCAGCCTAAGCCACCCACAGATTTGGGGCAGCCAGGAGGGCTCTCAGGCCCACCCCATCAGCATGCATCCCCAGCCCGGGGTCGAGCTCACCACCTCGACAGCTACATTCTCCTTTTCCACCATGCGGCCCTTCCTGGGAGCGGTCACTGCTACTCCCTCAAGCTCAGCCTTTTTGCGGTCCTCCTCAATCTCCTGGGAGCAAACAGAGGGAGAGGCACGTCAGGGGGTCCCATCTGCCAGCTGGAGTCCCACAGCCAGTTTCTCCCTCATCCGGCCCTGCCCAGGCCCCTCCTCTGCACTCTAAGACCAGAGAGCTGGTCACTCAGCATCTGAAGTGCTATGCCATGGGGTCCTGTGCTCAGGACCCTCTTGAGGGGCCCATCTCCATGGAAAAGCCAAGGGTTTCCCCTCAGCCTTTGGGGCCTAAGGGCCTGGCCTCATTACCAGCCTGACCTCACTCCCACCAAGTACCCCTTGCTCACCTGACCTCCTCACTGTTCCCAGTACATACCAGCCTCAGACCAACCTCCGGGACTTTGCACTTGTTCCCGCTGCAGAGAACACCCTTCCCCCAGTGATCCTTCAGTCCCTCCTCAGGGCTCTGCTCAGCTGCCCCTTCTCAGTGAGGCCTGCCTACCAGCTGACAGCAACCGACTACCCTGCCACTCCCTCACCCCTCCTCACTACCTGACATTACATATATTTTATTGTCTGTCTCCCCACACACACACCAGAATCTGGATATCTGACAGGAATATGTGTCTGCTTTGCTCACTGATATATACCCAGAGCCCAACACTACCTAACACACAAAAGAAACTCAATAAAATTATTTTTTATGATGAATGAATGCATGAAAGATGAATAAATGACGCCAACTCCTCCTCCCGGGTTCTATCTCAGAGTCAGTCCCACCACCGACCCTGCCATCTTTGACAGGGGGACCTGGGCCTCAGCCTGGGCCCTCCCTCCCCCTACCTACCACTGCCCATCAGTCACTTGGTACACTGTCTCCGCTCAGCCCTTCCTTGGTCTCTGTTCTCCAGTACTGTGTCCTCCCACCCACCACATACATCCATGAGGGTTCTTCCTAAACCGCTGCTCTGACCTGGGTCCACTCCGACTCAAAGCTCTGAACAACTCCCCAGTGCCCTCAGGAGAACATCCAAACTCAGTCTGGTGGTGGCATTCTGGGCCCTGCGTGTCCAGACACCTGCTGACCTCTCCAGGTCTGTCTCCCTCACTGACCCTTCAACTTTAAGCTCTGAGTTTTGGTACCAACTGTTCCCTCGGCCTGAAACACGTTCTGCTCTCACTTTCACTGACCAACATCTATTTACTCTTCAGCTCTCAGAATCCCCCGCTCCGAGCAGATATGTACTATCTCCCAGGTTGGGTCAAGAGCCCCCTCGGGGGCCTCCCCGGTGGCGCAGCGGTTGAGCGCTGGGTTGCGAAGCTGCCCGCAGCCTCTGCGGCGCCAGTTCGATCCCCGGCTGCTCCCCGGCCACCAGAGGAGGGTCCCACATGGCGTGCAGACCTCTCCTGCTGCCTGCTGCTCCCCTCAGCAGTGTACTTCGGTCCTTCTGCCTGCTCTGCTCCCCACTCTGGCTCTGGTGGATTCTCTCACCCTCCCGCGCTTCTGACTGTACCCAGTGCATGTATAAACAAAACAAACAAACAAATAAATAAATAAACATGCCTCTATTAAAAAAAAAAAAAAAAAAAAAAAAAAAAAAGAGCCCCCTCGGGGCTCCCACAGTACCCTGAAGTCTCCCATCACAACCTCTCTGGGTCATCGATGACAAGTGCTGACAACTGTGGGCCCCACCGGGCTGCAGTTCTGGCCAAGCAGGCCCAAGGCTGCTCGGTCATGGTGTCTCCCCAGTATCACTCAGCACAAGGCTTGGTACAGTGAACACCGTGTATTTGCGAATGGATGATGGAATGAGGGAATGAAGGACTGCCAGGCTACGGCCTTTGGCTTATTATCCTGATAATGATGGGGAGCCATGAAAAAGTTTTAAGGAAGGCAGAGGTGAGGGAAACTCACTGCGGGGAAGAGAGGGGATGGGGTCTCCCAGGGCAGGGCTAGGGCACCTGGTAGCGCCGGATGAGAGCCTCATTCTTCCGACGAAGAGCCTCGATCCTCTTGTCCAACTCAGCATCCTTCTCCTCCTTCGATTTCAGATCCAGCGTGGCTGCCTGGGATGGAGAAACAACTGAGGGAAATCCTCTACCCACCTCAGACCCATTCAATCCAGGGTCTGAGTGTCCGGCAAGTCCTCCTCCCAAGTCCCCTGCCCCAAAGCTCAGGTTTCCAGAGACCCCCCCCCAACTTTCCATCTCACCATTTCACTGGGTGGGTGGGGTCAGGACCCCAGCAAATCTCCCCAGCAGAATCTGGATTCACACTGGGGCTTCCTAAGGGCAGAGGAAACAGAAGGACTAACAACAACATCCCTCCACCACCAGCAATCTGCTTCCTCCTCTCCCATATACACAAACACATGCACCTTAAGAGAATTCTGGTCTTCACTCACTCCCCCTCTGGAAATGCTAGTGTCACCCTAGACAGGAAAAACTTAGATTCCACCTGCTCCTGGACTAGTAAGACTCACCTATTTCCCAGGTAGACACTGGAGTCACAGCAACCATGGGAAAGTTCTGGGCCTGCCCCACCACTGAAGGAAACATTGAACTGTGCTCAAAGGAAGACTGGGCCCACCTCCACACGCATGTACTTGGAGTTTAGATACATCCCCTCCCCACACTGGTACAGGAAAATTCTAGATTCAACTCCCAGGGCCCATTCTGCCGTCCCTCACATCCCCTTGAACGTTCTAAAACCCGCCTCTTTTCCAGGAAAGTTTCAGAAACATCCCACAACTACACATGCAAAAGAAAAAAGTTTGTATTTCACTCCTTTTGCTGCCTTAACACTCATAGAACATTCTAAGCTTAAGCTTCCCTCAGAGACGTCCTAGGCCGGCCCCCAACTTCCCGAGAAAGGAACCAGTGCCTCCCCACAGTCTCCCCCCACCTCCAAAGATTCCGAACCCAGAACCGGAACCCACTGGCGAGGCTTCCAGGGCCCAGCTCCACGTCCCCAGTGGATAGCCTCCCCTGCGCGGACGAAACTTCCAGGCCGGCCCGCCGCTTTCCAGGGAAGATGTCCAGCTTCCGTCCGGCAGTGAAGGCCACGGCCCCGCCCCCGGCCAGGGCAAACTTTCAAGTCCCGCCTTTCCCGCTAGACTGCTCGCGTCATTCATCTGGCCGCTTCCTAGTTTCCTGGCCAACCATCAGCCCCACCTCCGGGATCCAGGCAACAGCAGGACCCGCCCCCTCCTCTCGTGGCTATACGGCCACGCCCCGGGCTCGCCGGTAAAGTTTCTGGCCCCGCCCCTACGTGCCCAGGCCCATCTTCTAGTCACGGCCCCTGATTCCCGCCCCACCCCGCCTCATCGTGTCCATTTTCTGGCCCCGCTCCTGGAGTCTCGCGCTTTCGGACTCCGCAGCCGGTTTCCCCAGCAACGCTCTGGGCTGCACCTGGGGCTCCCGCAAAACTTTCTGGTACCACGCCCAGCTTTTCCCGCCAAGCCCCACGCCCCGCCCCTGGTGCCACTCTGGCCCCGCCCCCGCCGTCGCGTCGGCCCCTGGCCCCGCCCCTGACTTCCCAGCCTACCACCTGGACCAATTTCCAGCTTAGGCGAAACTTTCTGGCCCCGCCCCTAACGTTTTCAGCCCAATCCCGGCCCCGCCCCTGGCCCGCCGGGCAGTCTTTTGGCCCCGCCCATTGCCCCAAGGCAACTTTTCGGCTCCGCCCCAGCCGTCCAGTCTCGTTCCGGCTCCTCCCGCGGCCCGGCCCGCTCGGGCCCTGCCCACCCGCCGACGGCCCGCCCCGCCAGCGCCGCTCCAGCTTCCCATGTGGGCGTCCTGTCCCCGCCCCCCGCAGAGTACTCTGACCCCGCCCCCGCGGGCTGCTCGCACCCCGCCCGCGCCTGCTCCCGCTCCCCCTACGTGAAGCGTCAGGCCCCGCCCTCTCCGGGCGCGCTCCCGTCCCTCTCCCCCGGTCACCTGTCCCGGGGACCCCGCGGCGTCCGCGACTCCAGCTCTCTCGGCCTCCGCGTCCACAGCTCCCGGGCCGCGCGCGTCACTTCCCGCCCGCACCACGTGAAGAGGGGAAATAGAGAGGGTCACTTCCGGTCCTGCCCACCCGTTTCCGGAAGCCTTAAAGGGGCCGCACCCCACGGGCGGAGGCGGGAATGGGTCCCGCAGGTCCCCTAGGGTGTTCCTGAATTGCTGGAATGCACCTGGAATGCTGCTTTCCAGGGAAGAGACACACCATGGCACTCTGCTCTCTACCTGCTTCCAATAAATAGGTGTCAGGTTCTGGGGCAATGACTCCTGGAAGTCTGACTTGGTTTCTCTCTCTCTCTCTTTCTCTCTCTCTCTCTCAGCCACACACAACACACCAGCCAATGAAACCTGCAGTTACTTTTAGAAGGTTAAATTTTTCGACCACTAAAATGGTTCCTTCATTCTCTAAATGCTAGGCTCTGCGCTGAGGGGGATGATGAGGGGGAGGCTTGTCAGAGCCATGGCAAAGCAGACCCTGTCCCTGTCCTCAAGAGGGAAAACAAATGAACGTGAAATAACAGAAATGTGAGAGATGCCTTGGGAGAGGGTATGAAGAGGCCTGAAGGTGAGAGGAGGCAGCTGATCAGGAAAAAGACAGATGGCTGGTGCAAAGGTCCTGTGGTGAGTGGACTCCGTACATTCCAGATGCCTGTTAAGGGGTACATGCTCTAAAAGGGATCTGGCCTCAACATGCACAAAGGCAAAGGAAGCAGACTCTCAGGAAAGATTTTTTTTAAGATTTATTTTTATGTATGCATACAATAACTGGGGTGTAGCCCAGAGGTGTAGGAGGTGAGAGGATTCACCAGAGACATGGTGGGGAGCACAGCAGGCAGATAGATCCACTGAAATACACTGCTGAGGGGAGCAACAGGCAAGACAGGAGAGGTCTGCTGCCCATGTGGTTCATCTCTCTGGCCAGGGATTGAACTCGTGCTGCAGTGGCTGGTGATTGCTTGATAGAGCTGAGAATCTAACCCCTGTACCACCAGGGAGGCCCCTCAGTGAAAGATTTTTAATAGAATTGGTGTGCAGAGAGGATAGGAGGATGGAAGAGAGGAGGAGAAGGAGGAGGGGGAGGAGGAGGAGAAAGAGAAAGAAAAGAGAAGAAGAAGGGATTTCAAATTACAGCAAACTCCAAAAATTACCCGTCCCCTTGTGGGCAAACGCCAAGCCTAACAGGCTCAGTCTGAAGCAGAGCTGCTGCAATCTGAAAGCTTGCCACAAGTCTAAAGTAACTTCTGGCAAAGAACCACAAGAAAGGGGTTAGTCAGGTCCCAGAAAGCTGGGACAGAAGAAGAAAGTCAAAATTCGAAATATACCACATAACCCACAATAGAGGTCAAGATAACAGCTACAGATTATTGTCTCTGTCAAGGACCAGGAGCAGCCTCTCCACATGTCTCTCACCCACATGTCTCTTTTTCAAGTCTCTCCTCCCAATATCTCTACATTTTTCTCTTTCCAAATGTCTCCTCTCAGCAATACCAGAGTGCAAGCTGAATCCAGAAAATCAGGAGAACCCCACGCTTTCATGTATTCAGTTATAAGGCAAGGATGGTTGCTAAATTCTACCCCTAATTCCCAAGGACCGCAAATCAAGAAGTCAGGCTCCCAGCACGCTGGGAGTTGTAGTCCTAAGTGTCTATGATCTCTTCAGCATGGAGATAGCAGTGGAGACCATAAAAAATGCCGGGGTGGGGGGGCCTTCCTGGTGGTGCAAAGGGTTAAGTCTCAGCACTAAGAAGCAATCTGCACCCACTGCAGCACGAGTTCGATCCCCAGCCAGGGAGCTGACACACAAGGCACAGCACACCTCTCCTATCTCCCTGCTGCTCCCTTCAGTAGTGTATTTCAGTAGATCTGCCTGTTCTGCTCCCCTCTCTGTCTCTGGTGAATCCTCTCACCCCCCTCACACCTCTGGTCTGCACCCCAGTTCTATGCAAAAAATAAAAAGACTATTAGTATGACTTTTCCAAGAAATATTGCAAGACCAAAGGTTAATTCACAATTTTAATTACAGTCAAAAGGAACCGAGGGAGGCCTCCCTGGTGGCACAAGGGGTTAAGTCTCACACTATCAAGCTATCGGCAGCCACTGCAGCATGAGTTCGATCCCTGGCCAGGGAGCTAACCCACATGGCACAGCAGACCTCTCCTATCTCCCCGCTGCTCCCCTCAGCAGTGTATTTCAGTCAGTCTGCCAGTTGTGCTCTCCCCTCTGTCTGTGGTGAATCCTCTCAAACCCCTGCACCTCTGGCTTGTACCCCAGCTCTTGTGTACATAAATAAATAAAATAAATCTTAAAAAAAAAAAGAAACCAAGGGGTACCCAGCTTGTGTTGGGCCTGTTGACCAAAGCAAACAGTGAAGTGGGAAACCCTCTTCCGGCTCCAATTAAGGGGCTCAAGCCAACAGTCAAGACACAGCTGGACTGGCCGGGCAAAGAGGAATCCACAACAAGAAGTACCCTCTGGGTAAATCAGGAACTTTCAAGAAAGACAATCTTCAAGGTTTATGGCATTGCTAAAACTCCCAGCTCCCTGAAGATAGGGCTCCCACCAATATATAGGGTAATTTTCAGCAACTCTCCTTTTCCTCAGGCATAAAAGACATCAAATAGATACAATAACCCATACCTGCCCATCATTGAAATGATTGTCTTGCAAATCATATAATATCCTCCTTGAGAAGCTCAGAGTTCAAGGAGCTTTCCCAGAGCTCTCCAAAGGCTCAATCTTAATTCTTTAATAAACTCCTTGCCCTAACAGACTTAAGTCCAACAGGCCTGAAGTTTATACAAAGATGGAAACCCTCTGAAAAATAAATAAATAAGAGAACAGACTCCAAGAGTAGTCTCAGGGTGCCAAACGGGGATAACACCTTGGAAGTGAGGGGCCCAGGCTTCTATGCCATCGGCTTCCCCTAATGCTTCCCTGATGGCACTAGCTCAGCACGGAAATTGTGCCCATTGGCACTTCCCCAAACAGGATGGCTTCGGGCCATCTACAAGCCAGAGAGAGAGAGAGATGGCAGAGAAACCAACCCTACTGATCCTTGATCTCAGACTTCCGGTCTCTGGAATTATTAAAAAAATAATTTCTGTTGTTGAAGCCAACCCCGTCGGTGCTACTGTGTTCTGGAAGCCATGGCCAACAATAACAGCCCAAATCAGAAACTTCCAAATGCATGTCAACAGGCAGACTCACGTGGTGCTTCCTTCCTATGGAAGAATACTAGAGAGCCATGAAAATGAAGGGCCTCTCCCTTCACCACCCATGTGCAGGAATCTCAGACTTTATGCTGAGTCATCAAAGCTGACAGACACAAAGAAACATATATTCGAAGTTCTACAACAGGTAAGAAGACTTGATGCTGTTAGAATTCAGGATAATGATTATCCAAAGAGAAGTGACCCGAAAGGGGCCTGAAGGGAGCTCCTGGGGTGGGGGGTGGGGGGGCTTGCAATAGTCCATCCATCTCTTTCCAGGGAGTTTGACTCCATCCTGCCTTCTCGTTGGGCTTCGTGAGTTTTACCAAAGTATGTAAGTGATGCCTCTAGTTAAACAATGTTTGAAGGGATTTTGGAAACCAAAATTTAAAAGTTTAAAAAGTAATCTTAAAAGCACTTTGAGCTTATATGTGATATGGAGTTAAGTTCTGCCTTTATTCCGTAATTATCAGATTGGTAAGAAATTTGACAGCCAAGCGGGCGGCCTTTCGCGCTGCGTGTTTCACACCAGCCATCAGAGGGCGGTGTGGCGCACTCCTGCCGCTCCGACGCTGGATAAGCGCTCATTGAACAGTTAGTCCTTGAACAAGCAAAATTGTAGGGGCCAACTGCTAGTTTTCCACTCTGCGAAATGGGGATTGGAATGTACAGCTGTGCTGCAAGCATGTCCCTGCTGCGATGCAGCTCACTTTCTCCAAGGAGAGACCAAAAAGTAGCTAAACAAATGAGGCCATGTGAAGGGACAGATACAGACAGTCCAGGAAGGCTTCTCTGAGGAGGTGACATTTAAACTGAGACCAGAGGGGCCTCCTTGTTGGCACAGAGGTTAAGTCGCAGCACTATGAAGCTATCAGCTGCCACTGCAGCACGAGTTCAATCCCCAGCCAGTGAGCTGACCCACGTGGCACAGCAGACTTCTCCTGTCGCCTCCGCAGCTTCCATCAACACTGCATTTCAGTCAGTCTGCCTGTTCTATTCTCCACTCTGTCTCTGCTTGTGTCACAGAATGTGCT